CTTCTCCACTGGTCTCTGGCACCACCCTCTTTTGAGTTGAACACTATTTTTCTCATTTTTACAGACAATTTTACTCTATCTACAGCATCTGGATTTTGTGGCTGTGTCTACAAACTGTGCTTGGTAGCAGAAAGCTTTGCAGTTGGACAGAAAACTGCGTATGTTGAAGTCATCATTGCAAGACAACATATTATTTGAAGGTTCCTCAAGACAAGCTCCCCAATTCAAATCCCTGCTTGTATAACATGGAGTGATGTTTCCATAATATTCACAAGCCACAGTGAATTGTCACACAATGGTCTTTTCTTCTAGAAAGGTACCTATCAGCTCAACTTTTGCTGTGGTCAGTCACCATTTCCATCATAAACTTCTACTTTTTTGTACTTATAAAATATGGCAATAAAATAGCATGCCAAGATTAAACTTGGCATACAAGTTCTGTCCAGCAGTAACCTCAATTAATCTTTTTCAGCTAGCAAGTAAATGGACTTAGCAATTTTTAAATAACTTGAAAATGAAAGCTGTAGGGGTTCTGGTTCTCATTATTTTCTTGCAGTCACAGGTCCATAGTTTCAGCACCCCCTTACCTGCTCAGCTAAAACAGTTTGCAAGGACTCCTTCTGAACCCGAATGTCCTGAGGAGGCTTTGTGCCATGGATGGGATTACATATGCTGCTCCCTGCCTCACCTTAGCTATAGAGCAAGGCAGAAGGAAGATGTTATAGCTGGATCACTATGTGCTGTGCTGCTTGGAGCTCAGAACTGAATATAATAAACTTGGGTGTTTCCCATTTGCACCACTGGAGATGCTGGCTGCAGGAACAGGGACCTTGCAGCCTTGATAAGCATAGCTCAGACACATCATGGAATCACTTGGAGCATTTCCAGGCAACCATACAGAGGTACCTATACTCCTCATTCTACTCTTTCATGAACTGCTTACGGAGAATTAGGCTGGCAGAAATCAGTCTGGCAAAGTGTTCCGGAACACTATATTTTAACGGAAGGACAGTCTACTGCAATACTTGCTCAGTCATATTTTGGAGAGTAAATGTAGCAGAGGTATTCTTCTAAATCTGTTTTTCTTTGTGCTTAAATCTAAGTTCTGTCTGTTCTCTGCACCATCAGAGACCTGTTGTCTGCAGCTGTTTAAAGCCTCTCACTTGCATTAGCATTCCACCATCCTGTGTGTTAGTCAGCCCCTTCACAACTTCCAACTCTGACCCTGCATCTGAACCCAGCATCTACCATGTTTCATCAGTACATCCCAAGGGCAAAGAGGTCTTGGCTAATGGATCCTACTGTGGGATCTGATCTTCATCCATATTTGAAGTGACTTGTTTTCCCATCTGCAGATTTCCAAGAACAAAGAGGGAAAATAGATTATTACTCTGAATATCTGCCCCATTCTGGTTAATCATACCCATGACGCACGTAAAGACTTCTTGGGATCACTATTTGTTGCTATCATCAAGTCTCAGCTGCTGTCTTTTCTAGAGCATTTCAAACCATACATATACTTCACAGTTCAGCTTTCCTGTTGCTACAATGTGTTAGCAATTAATGTACAATAAACAAGCAGACAGTTGTTCCATGTCCGGGGAATAAAATCTCCAAGGATATAAAATGGAATAGAAACTATCCATCTTTCCCCGTATCCTGAGAGTTAAAAATAGAGCAAGCAATTAACTCCCCAAACATACTACGTGGTTTAGGCCACAGTTAAACAGCCACTTCAATCTGGCATATGCTTTTACTGCTCCTGAAGTCCTGTCCTCTCCTTACCCTTAACTCCCTGCTTCTCCTTGGTGTTAGCACAAGAGTTCAAGCAACCCTATGATGAGGTGGGCCAAAGAGCTGTCTCTACCAAAACCAACGTTTTTTTTCACTTAACTTAGCTTTCAGCTGGGTCAGCCCCCTTGATGTGACTCATTGTAGTACCACATAGATGCCAAAGGAGGAGAGGGTGAGATGAGGTGAGGATTGCATAAGCTGGTGTGACTGCCAAAGAAACACTCATGCAACCACAGCCCCAGTCCCAGTCTTATTCCTGGGGGCAGAAATGTGAGGGGGAGCCTGCTTTCTCCACCGACTTGTATTCTGTCGCTCCCCTTTGGCAGTGGCAGGGGGAGCTTCTCTGGGTAGCAGGATTGCTAAGAGGTGCTGGGAAAACCCCAGCAATGCAGCACTAGCGATCAGCGCTTGTAACAGGACAAACACAATCAAAGGACATTGCTCCAATCTGATGCAAGGCAAGTAAAGCTTCTCCTTTGTCAAGATGCTGTCATTGCTTCCCCAGTTCAACAGCTGAAGGAGGAGGTTATAGGGTTGAGAAAATGGACCCTGAGAAGATGAGTTAGAGAGCAAAATTTAAAATCGTTAACATTTCATTACAGTCCATCACCTGCAAATCTCGTCTTTTCCCTAAGCAGATCCTGTGCTCAACAGCCAGAAGTCACTAAAAGATGAGGATTTTCCTGCTGCCTGTGGTGAACTTCATTTTGAGCAGGAAAAATGTGAAACACACCTGGCTGGCTCGCAGTTTGCATCTCTTTCAAGCTCTGCATTGCCCTTTGTTCTGCATGAAACATAACCTTGGGAATCCCAAATGCTGCCCAAATGGTTTGATAAATACTGACTTAAAGGAAATGCATTTGCCTACTTGACTTCTTTTTAAATGTCACTAAGGCGTCCATTATTTCTGTCACTGCAATATTTCATTTTATTCCTACCTGTTACAAAGCTGCTACTCTCAATATGGCTTGTATTACAGGAAGGAAAGTGTAACTGATTGAGCGGATTCTAGAATCACCTTGTTCCCAGAAAGGTATCTCAAATGAGCAAGAGTGATGCTACTGAAGTCCTGCTGTTCATAAGCAAATTGATGCTGGACTGACAGTCCTTATACAAGACTGCTTCTCTTATTTAATGGTACTTATAGAGTCAAGGAAATGCAAGTTTAATATAACAAATCTAGAGCTTTCTGTTTATCTATACACTCCTCAGACTGACAAAACTACTAGTATACCAACTAAATGTACTTCACCAGTCACATCTTCAAAACAAAACTACCTAAAAAGCAGGACTGTATTATGATGTCCCTTGCTTTATATAATTTTATTAAAAAGCTAGAAAAATGCAGCAGACACCTTAAAAATCATGACCTGTGATGACCTCATGAGAGATAATGTACATACAACTATATATCTATGCTCGATTCAGAAGCAGATTGATGACTGTGTTCATGGCTTTTGAGGTGTTCAGCTGGCCAAAAAAATTGCACTGTACATGTAACCACAATAACTTTGTAAAGGAAAACTTGCACAATGTGCCCCATATAGTTAGGGCCAATTACGCACTGTTCTTACAGGCACTTGCTTGGAACAGTTTTAACTACACACACTCTCCAGCCCCTAAAAAGCACGTTTCTACACCCAGCCTGCCTCCACACCATAAGGAGTGTAGCTAAGCAGGCTGCCCTGGCTCTAAATAGGCTGATGCTTTCCTCACACTGGGAAAATGTTCAGTTGTCCATGTACAGAGGATTTACGAGCCTTTTGTGTCAATCTGACAACTCCAAAAGACTCAGGCAGGGAAAAGATTTAGCCCTAAAATACTGTTATTTGAACTTCTCTTTCCACTGGATACAGATGAATTCTGAGTAAAAGAAAAGCACGTAGTTAAAACTGGAAAAAATACAGAGTTGGGTTTTCAGAAGTGCTCTGCATTTGTCTAGTCGTGCTTTAGTTTAGGCAGGTTAAGCCCCATAAGTAAGCACTTCTGGAAATTGAAATGTGACTGTTCACTGAGGCTTCTGGGAGGAAGACGGTACGCACACTAAAATGCTACGGAATGAAAACAGAGGTTGTGCTCTTTTGCAAGTCTTGTGGTATGATACTCAGCTGTTTTGCTCTGCACAGGTTCCCCTAACTGTTCACTTGGGTTTGATCCATCTGGATTTTCACCACAGAATTTTACTTTGAGTTTCCAATTTGAATACAGGAAAGCTCTGCCAAAACCACATCACATTCAAACCACAGGAAATTATGAATTTGGCACTGTTTTGACATGGAAGCTGTAAACAGTGTGCAGGTTCACTCAAAACTGAATCACTGTCCTTTGAGTTATGAAACACAACAAAACTTCCAGCAAACCAGGTCAGAATTCTGAATTACTAAGGCAAGGAGAAATTATATGACTTTTGCATGGATCGGGATTTTGTTATAAATATTTTCCCCTGGCTTCTTTCCTTTAGCTATGAACATCCTACGTGGAAGAATAAAAAGAGAAGTTTTCCTCCTTTCCAAGTTTGAGTTAAAACAGGATTTAGCCAATTCTCATAGCTCTAACATACACATATCCTATTAAAGACAAGAGCAGTTTCCTACTGGCAGTCTTGAGCATGAGTAACTGTAAAAGCCAGAATTATACTGAAGATATGAATATGGTTTAGTTTTATGTGCAAAATGATAGGTAGTCAACTTACAGCTGACTTACCGTTAAGGGTGCCAGCCTCCCATTTAAAATCCACTGGATTTACAGCTGCCAAACACTGGATTTTTTCCCCAGGATTCCCGTTAGTGAACCACAAGGAACTTTTATGAAAATGGAAAAGTCTAAAGTATGATACTTGCCTTCAAAATAAACACTGCCCTAAAGAAACACATATTTGTAAAGAAGTCACAAGTTCATTGAGGACGAAAAGAAAACAACCTAGATTTCCAGACCAAGCCTGAAAACAATCTAGATTCCAAACCTGCCCAAGCCAGAAGTTTGAATGCAGAGCTACATGGAGGTGGTTTGACTGAAGTCAAACAAATAGGAAGCAAAATGTAGTCATGCAAGAGAAGATTTGTATTACTGCATTGCCTGCAAGAAAAAGGCAGTTTAATCTTGCTGAATTTCATTTTTACTGGATTTTTAAACCAGGCGTTTTTGAATGTCAGAAAAACTCTGCAGTGATCCATAACACACAGAACCATACATCAATCATATCTGACCTGTCATAGAGTTTTCAGATGTACATAGTTGCTCTCGCAGCTTTTCCACGTCGTCTGGATGAACCTGTTCATACAAAGTGCTGCCAAACCATTCAGACTGAGGCTGGTTCAGCACAGGAGTCACAGAATCTGATACGTAGATCACTCTTCCCGTCTCAGCTGCAACTACAAACAGGAACCCATCTGCAGCCTCCAGGATAAGATGTTTCAGTTCCTTCCAAAGAAAAGATTTTATTAGAATGCCAGCAGAGGAAGGGAATTACACATCTGTCACTGCCAAAGGATATTGTTTTCTTGTGATCTTAGTAGCTGATCACAACCTAGGCAGAAATTTTCACTGTAGTATTGATATAACAACACAACCAAACTTGCAGCAAGCCATAAATTGCTGGTCTTAATAACAAACAACACTTTGTTTTCCTTTATTGCCTTTCATCTGGTGATCTCAATGCACTTTAGGAAAATTAAGTAACAAACTCACTACATATTGTGTGATAGGCATCTAACCTTAAAAAAATAAAGAGTTATTTAAGAGTACAAACAGAGGAAATGAACAGCTATAACTCATATGGCAAACTCATACCTTAATTAAATGTCCTGAATAATTTAATTGGAGAGAAACCAACAAGTCTTTCTGGTTTGGTGTTTGTTTCTTTTTCCCCTCAGGATGAGCTCTGTTTGTAAATTAAACAGTCACTGGATAAAAGGCAGAAAGTGTAATGAGACCAAGGACAGGAATCCCCAGCCTCCCATCCCATTAGGGGGCCTGAGCCTCCACATAAGAAGGTTGTATCATTTCTTGCTTTCTTTTTCCAGCCTGTGAATATGAAGCATCAGAGATCCAAAGGGTCTGGAACACCTCTGCCTTTGGCCTTTTCTTTACATGGTCTCCTGCTCATCATCCTGGGTAGTTCTGTCCTGAGACACGCACACATCCACCTGAGAGGCAGCACATCGAGGCCTGAAGCCAGCTGGGGACTGGAGGGGGGACTGTAGGCCTTTAAAGCAGGGTATTTCTGTCCCTCACTTTCAGACACTGGGTCTAGACACCCAATACCTTGAATGGCACATGCAAACAGCTGTTTGCATGCATCACACAGAAACTCTACCTTTGCTTAACACAGCTTGAAATCCTCTCACGAGAAAGGATGACAACTACCACTCCAATTCCTGGGAAACAAGCGCGAACAGCCTTGGCTTGGTGGCCCCAGTAACCACCAAAGCTTGTTTCAGTACTGCACCTGGAGCTTTGGACAATCTGAGTCTCATTCCAGGTTGGACAGCTCAGCACGCAAGTGTCAGATAGATTCTGATAAGGTGAGGATCACAATCTGGTAAATTCTACTAAAGAAATGGATCACTCATCTCAAGAAACACTTGACAGACTGTCAACTTCAGCCTCTTTATTGTAGAGAAAGCACATCAATTCTGAACCACTTACTATATAAAAATCCACACTGCCACTGCACAGCTGGCTGCACTATACAGAGAATAATGAGACCTGTTTTGCATACATTATTAACAAAGATTAAAATAAACTCTGTCATTCTGCAAAGTTCAAAAAAAAACCCAAAAAGTTGCAATGAGAAGTGACTAGGGTCCCCTACCAACAACCAGCTGAATGGCACAGTCCCTCCAGAACCACACTTCAGGAAAGCCAGAAGAAGTAGAGGTCAGCAGCAACTGCTGTTTCTCTAATAGAAGGAAGTATTGCCATAACTTACATGTGTAAGTGCTTAAATCATTCAGACCACAAAAATGCACATTACACCCATAGGCCTTCAAAAACAATGAAGGTGGTAGGAATTTCCAGTGCACTCAGTTTTCCTTCAAGCACTGGGTGCATATTCCATCTTCCACCAAAAATGTAACCAAGAAGTACCTCAGCCAGTACAGATGGGATTCATCTCTGCCCAGTTCAGCTGCCAGGAACTTGAGGCATTGAGACTAAGCAACGTTTTAACCTTCCTCTAAACCCAGGAGGGAGAGGCAGGTCTCTCCAGACTCATTTTTACCTATTTTAGAGAATCTTTGTTAGGATGGGAAGAACCCAGTTCTGGAAGTGAAAATTCCTTTCCAGTGATGAGAGACAGCAAGCGAGTTGCTTTTCAGATGGACAGACTTCAATGATAAGAATGTCCATTTCGCTGCTTCAGAGAGAAAGATTAGTCATATGGTTAAGATCAAGTTCAACCAGTCAAAAAAATTTGTATGTATTCACATCTTGGATATGTAGTTCATACGAGTTACTACACAGCAGTGAAGGATCAATCTGAGACTCCACTCCTCTCAGCATTTCCTCACACCTTTTAAGACCACAAACCAGAGAAAACAGACATTTGCGAAAAATCTACCTGTTCTGTAAGAAACGAAGGCTTGTAAGCTCCATCAGTAGATTTGTTTCCAGTGCCCCTCATTGATTTCATGTGTGAAACAGCCATTCGAAGAATCGTCAGCTTGTCAGGCTTACGAGCCAACGCGCTACAAGTGGGTACCATATCAGACAGTTCGGTGATGTACTGTGTCATCTTATTTCTCCTGCGTCTCTCAATCTCACTATGATTCTCCCTGAACATTTAAAGAAACACCAAACCAACAGAAAAGCAGACATGATCAGTGTAAGTATTTCAACTGGAGGTAATGAATTGTAATACCTTGTACTTGTTTTGCTGTTTTCACTCCAGGAGAGCAAAGTGCTTTACAAAGCTAAGCACCATTATCCCTCAGTTTACAGACAAGAAAATCCAGGCCACAGACAGATGACTATGATTTCCCCATAACTGTGAAAAGAACCCATATTTCTAGCTATTGGCTTCTGGCCTTAATCTCTTAACCAGTTCAATCTCCTTTGGTTTAAGGACAAAAAAATGAAGTAGAAAGATGCAAGGAACTGACAACTGCCAACCACAGCCAAACTCCCGAATTTGCTGTGGTGCATCTACTTGCTCAAGGTGTTGGATCAGCTTCTAAAAGGTCTCTTTTAGAGGAAACCTCTCCCTAACAGCTGGATCAGGCCAGCAGTAAGTGTCAGCGCTGACTTACAAAAAAACCCACTCACTGATGACACAGATCTCCAGTCTTGTAATGCTGTGTGGAATGTCCCACATCCCTGCAGGGAGACACTACATGCCTACAGGATCAGACTGCAGGACTGGGACCTTATGTGGTGTAACAGTACGTACAAAAAGGCCTAGTAAATAAAAAAAATGAGTATGAAAGACAGCAAGTAAACATCTGGCTTGTCAGACATAGATCAGAATTTATGTTTGAGAACAATCTAGCACAGCAGGGAAATAGCAATGACAGTACTTGATGCTGCCCCTCTTTGGGCTGAGCTCCAATGTCCTCATCCTTTATAGCAAACATATGACTGAGGTGGTGAGTCAAATTTGAGAATTCTCAAAATGGACAGTCACCAAAATGTTTCAGAACTGAAGATCTGGGAATTCAGTTTTCCCATACTGTAAATCACCATTGCTTGACCACTGCTAAAGACCAATACATACATCTGAAGTGGTCCAAATGGACCTAGAATACTTTAGTGTCTAGCACTTTTTTTTTCCCATACTGTACCTGTCAGGTGGCAGCTAAATACAAGTACACAATAGGTTAGTGATGCTTCAGATGTCAAAGCAGCATCTTCCACTGATTTCAATGAGCTGTGCGTGGCATTTTCTTGTGGGATCGCTGGCTGATCCAACAAGATGTGAAAGGTGATCGCTTGAAGAGTCCACCAGCATTGACTGGCACGATAACACAACATTAAAAGAAACTGCAACATTCTTTGTAGCTGACTGTTATGAAGACTGACCATGAAAGTAGAAGCTAGGCTTGGCACGCTTTTTGGCTACTTTTAATAATGAAGCCTTTTCTTAAAATGCAGGAAAGGATCCTAGCTGTAGTATAATGCTTCCTGAAATAGATGAATGCATGGGCTTGCCCTGCTTTACAATGTGTTTCCTGCCCCTGCACATATAAGTGTTATATGCATGAGGCATTGTCTCCAGAAATATCACTTGTTAGGGCTACAGTTATTATTCCTACTGATGCCTATGCTTACTATACTGATATTCAGGAAAACCAGTGATAGGTCCCTGCAATGATAGCCCATGGTGGTTCAATAAATTACAGACAGTCCCTTGGTTAAGGTCACTAGCTACTTACCTATCTATTACACCTGAACAGTGAACCTTTCCATGTCAAATGGCTGATAAACAGCCTTTGTGCAGGTCTGCACAGATGCAGGAGATAACAATGCCTTCCAGAGTATAGACACACACAAGCACAGCAGCCCATGTGACAATGCACATGTACATAAGAGCACACGTGTGTACATGTCAGCATATACATGCAGATAAACATGGACAAGGGGAAGAAAAATGCATTTTTAAGTGATGAAATCTTGCTCTAAGTTCAGCATTTTCAGAGAAACGATGATCAAGAGAGACAAAACCCACATATACCAAACATATATTTTACACTTCTAAATACATATTCCATTGTCTGCCACTGATGTATTTTAATAATCCTGAACATTAAAAAGAACCATTATAAAAAGTGAACAAAGAGACTGCAAAAATTCCTGAGAAGAGTATCCAACAGTCCATTTCATTTATGATTATAGAAGCTAAAAAGTAATGGTAAGTTAATCAATTGGCCATGAAAACATTCAAGCAAAAAAAACCCTGAAACTTTCCTGAAACTAGTTCAAATTTAAACCCCTAAAAGAGGGGCCATGGTCCTCTTCTGAAAGTTTCTGCCCTAGGAACCCTGGCATTCATAAACATGTATAGAGAATGATGTCCTAATTCTGTCATTTCTAACTTTGTTTTTAATGGAAATTTTGGAGGGACATTGAATTTTGGGAGACTGCAGGAGCTGATCTAAACCCACTTAGGTTTAAGGTTAGTATTTCTGATTTCAAGCATTTTTGGATCAGCCAACCCTCCTGACTTTTGATCAGCCAGAATGGTGTCATATAAAATAAAAATGGGGGCAAACCATATTTGATTTTCCTTTTTCCTACCTGGCCATCCTTTCTGTGTCAGCAGTACTTTGATCATCATCCCACCTAGAAACAAGATAACCAGCTCTCTAGGCTAAGGCACACGTACTGAGATTTTTTGGACAGGACCATCCCCCTCTTTTCTCTCAGCAGAAGAGCTCTACAGAACACGCCTACCTTGCAAACTTTTCCTTATCACCAGAGATTTGATCACCATCATACCTAGAAACAAAAGAGAGTAAGTAAATTCACAAGGGTAATGCATTCCGTGACAGTCAACACACAGCAGAAAGCAGAGGTTCACAACTGCAAACTATTACAAGTAACAGCAAGAAAAATGAGGGCATGAGAACGACAAAGCAAAGAGAACGTAGAGTCTGACGAAACTTCTAAGCCATGCCGATTCAAAAGCTTCATTTGTATATTTAAAGAAGTTGGAGACACATTTCAGTTGATTTATGCAAACACTTTGACATACACTCACTGCTTGGGAAACTTAACAACCAGCACCATTACAGAAAACACCACCGAGCTTTTATCGACAGCAGCCCACGGAAATATTCATTGCTGTGTTGGAAGTGAAAGAGCTGTATCTTTTCCAGACTGCAACCACAACTCGCTCCATTCAGCAGAGGGCACTGATGGTCTACAGATAACATGGGAGGGCAGAGACACACGCTACAAGTGCAATGCATTCTATAAGGACGCCTTCAGAAAAAAGCTCGAGTAGGTACAGACACGGTACTGTCTTGTTGGGAAGACTGGCAAAAGTCAGTCAGACAGATGAAACTGCTGGGTAAATAGAAGTGAAATTAAAACTGGCTTAAGTCCCTAGAAGTAA